CGGGTTTCGGGGCGGGTTGCGGGTTGGTCGAGTCTACCCATCGGGTTTGCGGGTTCGGGTTGCGGGTCGACTTCTCTTACCCATTCTCGGGTTTTGGCGCAGTCTATGCCTCAGCCACCTCAGAAGGAGGCTCAACTTCCAACTGGCCCAGGTGGCCCTTCAGAATGAGCCTCGATGCAAAAGCCCACCGTGGCCGGCCTGAGCCACCTCAAGAGTGAGCCTCCATGCAAAAGCCCATCATGGCCTGCCCCAGCCACGTCAGAATGAGCCTCGATGCAAAAGGCCCACCGTGGCCGGCTTGAGCCACCTCAGAGTGAGGCTCAAATTCCAACTGGCCCAGGTGGCCCCTCAGATCGAGCTTCCATGCAAAAGCCCACCATGGAAAAGCCCACCATGGCCACCTCAGAGTGAGCCTCCATGCAGACAGCCCACTACTATTTGTGACCGCGGTTGCAAATTATCGCCGCAAGGCGCGCTCGCTTACGTGCTGTTACCAGATCTCGAAATATTCTTGGATATATATATCGGACCATCGTACACTTTATACCCACACTAGCTCGCCATCATAATTTCTGACCGCGGTCAGAGCCCGTCCCTATTTTCATCTTCTCTTCACACAAGCAATCATCGACTCTGGGGTATTTAAGCAGGCACCCCCCTGCCGAACCTTCTCCTGCATTTTCCCCGCCATTTTGGACCTCCCGCCGCTGCTGATCACGGTACTATGTCTCTCGGTCATGGTATTGAAAATTACGCTTAAAGCCAGAAATTCCGAGTCCTCTTTTGATTTAAACACTGATAGGACTGAATGCGGTGGTTGCCTTGCATATCGATTACAAGGGCTCCAATAGAGCGACAATTACCGTATGGCGACTGGAATATACAACAGTAGATGGTGTTGAGGAGTTTCGGGCGACCGCAGTGATAGGAGCACAGGTACGGTCCGTTCCGGGGCAAGACATCTAATCCTCGGGTGCTGACTATTAGTTAATATAATTAAAAACTTTAAATTATCGTTGTAGAGTACTTTACGTCGTTCCTACAATCCAATTTTCTTCTCGCTTCTATCGTCCCGTTTCCAGTCTACAGTGTGCTTCTGGCGGAAACCCTAAGACGCAACCAGTCATATGTGGGGATCGGCCTTAATGCATTTTAGCTGTATCACTGCACAGACCGAGATGCTTCCCGCTTATTACCTCATCGAGGCTGGGCCCTGAAACCGAACTGGCAATATTTGGGCGAACAAAAAAGGTGTCGCAGGCCTATGCGTGGTGGAGCGTGTGTAAGGTTCGTTGCGAGCCGAAACAGTGTCGCGCAACAAAACCGCACGCCTAAAGCATGGCGACCCCTTGGATTTGTGGAGGCCTTGAGCCAAGAAGGGCTCCTAATCGGCTTCTAAGTTGTAACATTTGGGAAGTCTTTATGATCAGCCAAGGCTTATTGGCTAGTTTTTCTCACCCCTTGGTGATCAAGACAGGGTGGTGGCCAATGCGTGCACCTCTGACAAGGGCCACGGCTTTGCGATGCTAGCATTTGCCACTTCGTTCATTCTCTATAAATTCACTCCCCGACCCTATTATCCACCAATACCCGTTCAAGCTCTATCATGGCTAAGACACCTCGCAAGCGATCTACAGCCACCAGCTCAGAGAAGAAATCAATTCGACAGAAAAGAGACCGGCGAAAGATGAACTTAGAAAAGAAATCGCATGAGTATAGCAAGCTGTGCGGGGCGGATGTCTGTTTGGGCATACGAATTCGAGAATCGGGACAGGTATTCATATTCTCTGCGGACCCATCGGGATTTTGGTCGTTCCTTCATTCTCAGCTAGTATGTGCTG